CACCCACATAGAAAAACGACAATTGCGCTAAACATGTCAGGTATCGCCATGTGCATCTGAGTGGGAGCAATAATCTTGGTCTAATATTCACTGCAAACTCTAAACTGATGACCGGGCTTTTATAATAAATATATGTATAAGGTGGCAAGCCTCATTTTGGTTTCGGACACAAAATTATGCTCCAGAATGTGCATTGTAATTTTAATGGCATCCAAAATGCGCCTCCTGGTCGCAGTGTGGTCACCTGCACTGGAACGCGTGGTACTGCAATGCCATGCGTTCCAGTGCAAAAAATTTGCATACCGTTTTATTATGAAGTAAACTTGATGTTTGTAACACTGCATTTGTGCATTTTATTTTACATAAAAGATGGGGGTTTTTTTTTTTTCTGACTCGACAAAAAAATAATTGGCCAACTAATCGATTATGAAAATAATCGTTAGTTGCAGCCCTATTGTAAAGTAGCCACTGCTCCAAGCTCGCTCCTGTGATGGACTACAAACTAATGTTTAGTTTACCAATTTGTATTAAGATTGTAGTCCATTTTGTTTGTTGTATAGAGCTCTTCGCCGAGTGCATCAGACGGAATCCAGAGATCAGAGGGATCACCGCACCGGGTCCAGACAGACGGGAGGCCAAGTGTTCGTTGTACATGGACGACGTGACAGTGTTCTGCGCAGACCAGCGTTCCATCGACGTGCTCGTCCAGACCTGCGAAGACTTCGGCCGAGCTTCGGGGGCAAAAGTCAACTGCGGGAAGTCGGAAGCCATGCTCTTCGGAAAATGGTACCTGCCTTCTTCTGCGCCCATCCCCTTCAACATCAGAGCGGATTTCATCAAAATCTTGGGCGTCTGGTTTGGAGCTGAGGGCGCGGCCCTGAAGTCCTGGGAGGAGAGACTGTCAAAGATGCGGCAGAAATTTGGACTCTGGAGCCTCAGAGAGCTCACCATCGAAGGGAAGTCACTGGTACTCCGCAGCGAGATTCTCCCTGTGTTGCAGTACCTCGCCCAGGCCTGGACCCCCGGGTCAACACCTGCAAGGCCATCACCAGGGCGGTGTTTCACTTCATCTGGGGCTCCAAGATGGACAGAGTGAAGCGGACTGTTATGTTCAAAGAACCCCTCAAGGGTGGAAAGGGCGTTCCTGGCCTTGCCACCCTGCTGA